GAAGATTTGTCAAAGAGAGGGAGCTGTGTTTGAATATTAACATGTGTATTAATATGTACATATTTACATTATAATAACTATCTCACTTGTTGGCTATTGTGGCATGTGGGGGCTTATTTTGCTTAATTCAGCAGTAGCAGCAACAGTATCAGCAGGGTACAACCAGAAGTCCCAGAAATCATAAACACACTTACCAAGCCATATTCAGCCTCTTTTCCACTACCTTTTCAGCATCCACTACCTTCAAGGTCCAGCTCAAAGGACTACTTACAACCCTTGCTGCAGAAGACATGAGGCTTGTCCTGGCAGCTTAACCTAAGATTTCTAATTCCTCTTGAGAACAAGTAGGGAAATCTCCCTTCAAAATACCTACTCAAAGCAGAAACTATTCACAACTCTTGCTGCAGAAGGCATGTACCAGTGCTAACAGTTTGACACTCAGATTTCTCGTTCATCATGGGAACAAGTGGAGAACTTTCTCTCTACAAAACTCAAAGGAAGAAACCCAACTCTCTTTTCCCTCAAAATACTACTATTTTGTACTCTCTTTCATCCACAAATAAAAGCTGTTAAACAGTTATTTTGAGTCTTGGATTTTCTTCATTCCAGTCTATACACTGTTAAGCACAGACACACACGCACATGCAGCCAGGAAAAATTCCTACAACATTGTACTTATCTATTTAATAAATACCTATTTACATTGTACTTAAATTTTCCTATATTTTTACAAATATCTTGACTGTCACAAGTTACCTTTTTATCCCCAAATTCATTAATAATTTTATTGGCCTGAAAAAATCAATCTATGTATCTCAGTGGCAATAAGTATGGTCTGACACCAAATTTTTCAGACAATTGTCATATACTTTCCTAACCTCCTAGTATGTGTGTGCAAGAGAGAGAGGTCTTTCATTTACTGTAGAAATATTATACAGACCCTAGGCAGATATGCCATGAGATGACACTTTGATTTTGAGCAGGATGCACAATTTAGACAAAGCTGCTAATCCATACATAATTCCAACATTTTTGGTGCATACTGTCCAACATACAGTGATTTATTTATTTATCATGCATGTTCACAAAGGTGTTTAGTGGTTACTACTGAAGGAATGAAGTTTACTGAATAAATGACACAGCAACTACATGCCTTCAGTATGGATTTCACTCCTCTAGGTCCACTATTGATGTCTCAACTGTTATTACACACAAAATCAGCAAAGCACACAATAAATTCATCACTAGAGTGATTGCCTTAGATATCTTAAAGGTTTTTGACAAGATGTGGAATAGGGTAGTGGTTACACAAACTCTCTATATAGGCATCTCTGGAAGAGTCTTTGTAATTATCAAGTCTTTTCTATTGGGTAGGTTCATGAAGGTTGTTATTAAGGGCTAGTCTTCTGGAGACCATGAGCTCAATGCATGTGGTCCCAAGGCTCTCTCCTTGGTCTTACCTGCTTTCTTCTTCATATTAACAACTTGCCCAGAAAAATTCTCAGATCATTAGTAAATATCTATATTGATAATAAAACAATTTATGAGTGCACTTGCAAATATCTAAATGCCTGGCAGCTGATCTCTCCTCCGACCTAGCTTTAACAGCTCAATGGATAAAAGACTGAATTTAAACATTCAATATCACCCAAACCAAGTTAGTGATGTTTCATCATCCCCAAGCAGACACTGAATTTTCATAGTCATGATGAGTTGTTGTACTTTCAATAAAGATCTTTGCAATGGAACTGGTTGCAAGATCACTAATGTTTTGGGTAAATATTTAGTTACCATGATGTTGCGGGAATCAATAATTTGGAGAGTAAATATTTACGGGCTCCTGGAAAATTTATCTCACAAACAATATTGGGAGACTCAATGTGAATCCAACTAAAAAATGAGTAACACAAAACAATATAAAACAAAGAACACGGCATGTACTAACAAAAAAATTACATGCGACAGAAGGAAAAATCATGAAACTAGCTATAAGAATGTGCTTGTTTGTGTGTGTGTGTGTGTGTGTGTGTGTGTGTGTGTGTGTGTGTAACAAGCACGTGGGCAAGAGTATGAAAGACAGGAGAGAAAACCATAAAAATGAACATGCCTCAGTGGGAGACACTTTTTTTTTTCCCAAATGCAACTGCATCTTATAGCCAGAGTTGTAACAGAGAAAAGAGACTATAGAGAAAATATGGGAGAATTAGCGACACCCCACATGAGTCATAATAGAGGAACAAATAACGAGACAAATGAACAGTTTAAAAACTTTCTTTTATATAAGGAATACATTATACATTGCTAAACATATTCCTTTAGTAATTAATATCATGGCATCATGGACAAAGTCCAAATACATGTATCTGTTTGAAATTGATTGAAACACTTATCTGATACTGATCATATTCTTATTCCGATTGCTGCTTGTCAAAATATTATTCAGGTTGCTCATGGCAAACATTGCCTATTCTTTAGAGGAGGCTAAAACACATCCATTCAGCTTCCTGGTCTTGAAGTTTCTATGCTTCAGCACTCAAATCTATTTGGCACCTAAATTTGGGTCTTACCCATTATTACCAGATAAATGGACTCATCTCCCTCTCAGGGGGTCTTATCAACCAAGGGAAGAAAACCTATATTTTTCATAAAAAATGCACACCTTTTTATAGGTTTAAGGAGTGTCCCCTAGAGACTTTTTTTTTTAGCAAAGTCAAGTGAGACAACCCACAAATTCAAGTTCAGACTTCAAGTGGAACTCATATATTTGATCCAGAACTGAAGATGCTGGAAAATGGTTGGTGCCTTGTACTACTCCAGAAAGGACGACATGACTCCTCCTAACATGCTCTATCTTTACAAGAGTCAGATCAGATCAAAAATGGATTATTGCTGACATATCTGGGCTAGAGCTTCACTCTTTGCAGTCTTTTCAAAGTTCAAAAGCCTTGTGGGTGAGGAATTATTTTCAACCCTACAGGCTGTTTCCCACAGATGAAACATCACAAGCTTATCATTACTCCCTCACTATTTCCATGGTAAATGTTCAGACAAGCTACATTCATAAGTTCTACCAGTTCAAACCTTTACAGCTAGCACCTATTATATCATGTACACAGGGTTGGATAATCCTCATTCCTTTTGTATTTCATTAGTAAGAAAGAAGTTCTACTCAGACAACTTATTCCCAAGAACTGCCTGTCCTGGATACAATGATAAACTACATCCGCGTCCTGGGTAAGATGATAAACTACGTCCAACAGCAAGGCCTCTGATCAGGAGGTTTTCAGGAGTGTGGAACCACCTCTTAATTGCTGGTTCTCCCAGGTCCACCCTGACCCGGGGTGGTAGCACCTGTTAGGGTCCCAACTATGGGCAAATAGTTAACCCCCAAACTGGGGTCAAAACACTATGAAAGTGTAAAAATAGGTTTTAATACTAGAAATACTTTGTAAAAAAATTATTACCAGCAATACATTTTTGAAAAAAAACATATTACCAGCGATACATTATTGAAGAAAAAATATTATCAGCAATACATTTTTGAGGGAAAAAAATATTACCAGCAATTTTTTAAAGGAAAATATTCCCAGCAAAAAAATTGTCAGCATTAAATAACCCATTGTGGTTGATATGCTGTAAAACAAACCAAACCAAGAACTGCTACTTTGTGAAACAGACTCCTGAGAGGATGCTTTCCTGATCGCTACACTCTTAGCAGTTTCAGGTCTAAGTGGATATGCAGGTTGTGTACTGGATAGAAACTCTGAATTAGAAATTGGAGAACCAAGTTCAAATTCCTATGAGGTTCATTACTTTCACTGACATACAAATGCTCTTTGGAAAGGTATGAATCCATCTACTCCCCCACAGCAATAGATTAAATAGTAGGACTTGTAACTGAACAAATAATTATTATTCTGAAAGAATTGTTAATGCAATATTCATTCACAAAAAGCAAGAATTATTCTAACAATCAAAAATATGTTTTGCCTTTAAATAACCCACAGAGGGTTGATAAACCATAAAAACAAATAAATCAATCAAGTCTAGGGTCAACTGATATCTATCCTAATAATCTGAACTTACTTTCTACTTTACATACTTCCCTCTGTCTTGACTGACTCTCGGGCCTTGTATTGGGTGAACATTTAGTAAAAAGAAAATCTCAAGTGTTTGTCTTTTTTCTCAGTAATTGTTTTTTGGTGGCGGTATGAAGGATTAATTTTGTAATTTAAAAATATTAAATAAAAATATATTTAATTAATAGTAACACTAACAGTAACAGACAATATTGCTACAGTACACTAACAGTGTTTCATTTTTAGTACTTGTTTTTAAATTTTCTTTCGACAACTAAAATTTCGTTAGAAGTCTTGTGACTTTCTCTGGTTATTTTTTTGATCAAAATTCCAATTGTTTCTTTTCTTGTTAAAAAAAACATAGATTCTTATTTCAAATATTTTCATATGTTGATAGTAATGTTAATTTATTTTGTTTTATTATCTTCAACGTTCTTTCTTTTTTTTTCTAAAGAAAAAAGTCACCGCTGACCCACAAAAATACGCAACTATGTTGTGTGATGCGCACATAACTCTGTATAAAGCTTTATGCGAGACGCTTCTTATATGTTGTCATGTTACCGCCGACGTTTACTGGACTATTGTAATAATAACAATAATGCATTGCGATATTGGCTAATCAGTTGGTCACCAGTTTACGGCCAAATACAAAGTGAGAAGCATACTAATAATAATCACAGTAGTTGTATTTTCACTTTGGGGTGTATTTCCTATCATTTCCCGCCTTACTGTGCAACAGCTGTCAATAATAAGAAGTCGGTTTCGAGGTTGTCATCAAAAATTGTTGCTTCGAGAAAACAAGAATCACTATATTCAGGATCGAGAAAGAATCACCAACTTTTCCTTTTTGCTTATTTGCCTAGGTTAAATCTTGGAAGAAAAACAAAGAGGTTTCTATCGGTGTCGTCGGTTCATCTGAAGTTTGAAACATGTTGCGTTACGGCGCTTTCTGTGGGCCATTATTATTCGTTCATTTCATCACACTTCTTACATAATCGTCGGCAGCTATTATTTACCGCTGTTACAAACAGTAGTGATAAGAAAAACGTTTCTCGTCTTATCTATACCACAACAAACAAGAAAATCATGGACTCTCTCAAAGAAAAATATAACCGAGATCCAACTGACGCGGAAAAGGAACATACCAGATCCTATGAGGTAAAAAAAAACAAAAACAAACGTGAATAATCAAAAAAAAAAAAAAAACTTTTATCCTTTCTGTTATGATTTTTAATATTGGTACAAGTCAAATACTGTGGTCCATGTAGAAATATATGTGACGTCAAGGAAACTTGTACGAATTCCCAACCTCGTAATCCGGCAAATTTGAGCTCCCAAGCACTCTCAGTACTCATTTAATTTTTAGCATTTCACTAGCATTTGTTTATTTTAAAATTGTTTCATTGAACTTTATTAATTCTTCATTAACATGAATTCTTTTTTAATTACTCACATTTCTGTGACGTCATACAATTCACTATGGACCACAGAACTTGTACCTTTTTTTTTTTTTTTAAAAGGTTGTTCCCAAATATTTTCTGCGAGGTAATGTTTCTAGGATCATAAAACTAACAAGAAAGGGTAAAAAAACCGTAAAAAAAAGAAAGGGTAACTGAGTTAACACAACTCGTGATCTTTTACCAGAATTAATAATTGTTTCGTTTTTACGACCCCCCCAGCAATGATTATTTATCACGATTAGCATCGGTTCACTCATGCAACAAGCATTGGGAAGCAACAGGTGTAAAAATGTAAAACTAAAAGATTAAAGAAGCGAAATAGAAACTAATTTTGGAACCTACTGTTTCATTAGGTCGTAGCTATTTCACAACCTTTTCATCGAGGGAACTATAAATTATAATTTACACTAAAAAATATTGTTCTGTCTTTTTTTCTTCAGGCATTAAGTAGAAAAATTCCACTTGTGTTTTTTTGGTTTTTTTTTAATTCAACATTATTTCTTTTCTGAATTCTGATCGGGGAAACCTCTAGTCTTTTCTGTGTTAAAAAAAAGATGAAACGTTGACTGCATGTTAGAAATACGACTCGGGAAATATTAAAGAAGTTCTTAAACATGAGTTATTAAGAACTTTTTAAAATAATGATTGTTATGATGAAATAATCTTTCAAATTATTTAAATTAAAAAGTCAAAGTTAACAGAGTTCAGTTTTTTTATTTTTTTTGGAAAGCTGATTGATACAGAAGTTTTATAATTATTTAAACAAAGCGATAAAAAAAAAGAAATAATAAAATTATAATTAGTAATATTGTTTGTGTAAAAGAAAAAATATCAGATATTTTATTTTTGGCTTTTTTTTTTTTTTTTTTTTTTCGTATTTTATTTTTAGTGGTTGCTACCTTGAGAGAAAAACTCATTTCATATTTGTAATAATAATTTCCTTCATCGGCTTAGCGATTCCATAAAAGTTCCTTGGCATACAGTCTCTACACGTTATTTTTACCAAGCCGTATTTTTCCACGTGCCTCAAAATTAAATGATTTTTAAAGTATAAAAATTTTCAACAAAAGTTTTTTTCCATTACAAAAATAGTAAAAAAAAATTAAGTAATAAAAGGTAAGGGAAAAAGATAATTTATAAATCATTTTGTTACAATTTAAAAATCAAGTGTTTTTTTTTTTTTTTTTTTTTTTTTTTTTTTTTTTTGTAAGCAAAGTGGTGTAAGACAGTTTTTTAGGCTGATTTTTTTTTTTTTTAATCTGACCTACTTGCATTTTTTTTTTTTTTTTTTTTTTTTAGTTCAATGTTAGACACAATGAGTGCATAAAATTAAAAAAAAATGATAACGTATGCAATCCAAGACAATGCCTGTTGAGTTGATTGTGTGGTGGAGTTGTCAATTTTAGGCTGTCAACTATTTACTCCCGTCGTCGTCACGAGTCTAACAGGTTTGTTGACAAAGTCTAAGTAAAACTAGCAACTGCCCTCGAAAAGGTCCTCTAATCGGTGGTTAACTGGAGCAAGGAATGGCTTTTAAATTTGAACGCGTCCAAAGCAAAACTGTTTTCATTTAATTAATTGCTATATAGAGGACCTTTTCTGCTTGCCATGAGTATGGTTGTGATGCTAACCTCCAGGAGAGCAACTCTTTGCTACTTTTCACCTTTTTGTTTCACGTTTTCCACTGAAGTGCAGTGATAATATTGAATCAATTACTAGGTCTACTCAACTGCTAGGAAAGTTGGCTCATTGTTTTGACAGACAATTCTTCTTGTCATGTGGAGAAGATTACGCTTAACTCTAGATTTGAACAGATTAAGATTGTAGTGATTGGGGGGAAAATCCTTTTGGGAGTTGGTTCCACAAAGAAGTGGTATGTGGGCAGCAGCCACTCGAATGGAACCTACCTCTCACCAATGAATACGAAAGGGAATTAGGATAGTTTGCAATGCTGTATGTTGCATAATGGATGAAGGTTAGAACTGCTGGGACTAGTTCACCTGAACACTTTCCATGGAAATAGCAATAGAGTAGCAAGAGGCTTGCAACAATTCATCCGTGAGAAAGAGTAGAGTGGAAAATAATTCGTCACCTACAAGAATGTGAAGATGCTTTTGGACTCTATCAAGACTGGAAAGTGAAGATTGGCATCTCCTGTACATATATAGCAGCAGTACTCCATTTTTGGCCTGATCTGGCCCTTGTAGTGGATAGCAGGAAGAATAAGGTACTTGCTGGCGTGGTACAGGGAATTGGTTATTTTTCCATCTTCTTTAGTGATGGATTGTATATATGAATTCCCCTTGAGGTCTGGGTTGAGTCTAAGGTCCATTAGGAACGTCAGCTCATCGCGATTAGTGAAATTTCTAGGTTTGATCAGTGATGTTGGAATGTCACCAGTTTGGTTTTCAAGGCATTGAATCCAGCCAGCTAGTTTATCCTCGACTAAGCTGTTAGAGTTAGGTCAGAGGATAGTTGAGTTTTGGAGGTGCACTCATTGTGAATTTAAGCGCAGTATTAGATATGTGACAAGGTCTCGTCATTTTACAGTTGAAATGGCTAGATGTAACCATAAATTCTATGCTAACAGTTTCTTCTCTTGCGCTTCTTACTTTCCAGTCAACTTGAATCTTGAAAAATTTAAATACAACCTCATTTGTTATTTCTTCTTAATTCTTTCTTTTATTGTTCTCTCTCAAGTTTTTTTTCATATTCACTCAGTAACCCCTTGTATCTTTGTGGCTTATTGCCTTGCTTGGGATGAAATGATTAAAAATAATAAAAAAAAACAAAAAAAACATAGGATCAATAAGCTTTTTTTTTTTAATATACAGTATTCTGATTGATCAATAATTCTAAGAAATGCATTTCCTTTCAAACTATCACAACTTATCCAGCTGAATCCTTTGATGCTCAAAATTAGATTTTAATTTGAAAATATTTTACTAACTCTAAAATAATTGCTTACTAAATTATTGAATTTAGGCTGATTCATATGTGATGGATTCATTTCAAGTTACATTTGGAGGTTATTTAAATGTTTACTATCCATTTCCAAAGAACAAAAAATTTGTGTACTACAAGAAATCTATGCAGTCTAAATGTTAGAGGTTTAAGTTGTATGAATTTTTTAGATAATGAATTGTTAGTATTAAACAAAAATAAGATGAAAAGAAAACTAGTCAAAAATTAATCATACCAGTGTAAATGTTATGGCAGGAGAGCATTTTCTTACTATATAATTGTTCATTACTTTTTGATTATGTGACATACACCTGTAGAAATGCATACACATACCTGTACATCTTCAGGCATATTGAAGCATGGAGAATGCTGATCCATTCCACAGGTAGAGCATCTCCATTATACTAAAATGGGAAAAAGCATCTCTTTATATTGCAGCAGTGGTTGCAGAAACTTGGCAACTTTTGAGTACCAAGGAAAGAAGGCATTGATCAAGAAAATAGCCATCAATCATGATGTCATTCACTTCAGCTACTGATTAGGAGTTTGTAATAGCCTCTTCCACCCAGTTTAGCTGGAGAATCTAGCTAGACAGTGAAGCATGTCTTTGACCCCACTTCTCCTTTATCTTCACTATCACCAAAATAGGTTGGGGCTATTTCAGAGAAGTCTGAGGGAGAGTGGCAGGTGGTGGGAAAGAGGGGTAAGAAGGTCCAGGCAGTGGGATCTCAGTCCCTTTTGGGTTCAGATTTTATGACAGTCACTGAGGGGAGGTTTTAGAGTTATCTGCAGCGAAACTGTGGCAGCCATGTCAGTCTGAGACACGAAAAGAAGGAACTCCTGATTACTCAAACACTTGACTGAAGACTAAGGAAAGGCTTGTGGAGATGACAGCTTCATTTAGTAATTTTGTCTTCCTCCTCCTCTCCATAAATCAACCAATACTATCACTGCTATAACAACACTGAGGAAACATTATCTCTTCACTGAACTTGTTTCCCAAACTTCTCTCAGTTGCTCAAAATTCTCCCACTTCACAATCTCCTCTTCCTTATGCAAAATCTCAAATTCCCATATGTCTTCTCCCTCATGCCAAAGTGGAGGCACTCTCCAGTTAAAAATCAAAAGCAGGAAAAAAATAGAAAATAAGAAAAAAAAAAATACAATACTACAATACAATACTGGATACAGCAACTGTGGATCTGAGCATGCCAGTATGACCAGATCTACAGATGAATAGAGCAAATGAGGATTTGGGCATTTCAGTTTTTGTATATGGACATTCCAGTATATCCATGTCTACAGATGGACACAGTAAATGTGGATGTAAGCATACCTGTATATTCAGATCTACAGATGGACATGGAAAATGTACATCTGGGGATTGCAGTATGTTCATGTCTAAAGATAGATACAACAAATGTAGATCTGGGCATGCTAATATGTCCAGACCTGCAGATGGACATGGCAAATATGAATCCAGGCATGTCTGTATATCCAGACCAGCAGATAGGCATGGCAAATGTAGATCCAGGCATTCCAGATGAACCTGGCAAATGTGGATCTGGGTATTCCAGTATGTCGAAATCTACAGATGAAGACAGCAAATGTGAATTTGGGCATACCTGTATATTCAGACTTGTAGATAGACATGGGAAATGTGGATCTGGGTGTGCCAATATGTCCAGATCTACAGATGGACACTGCAAATGAGAATCTGGACATTCCATTATTTGGATGTGGCCATGACTATATGTCCAGTGGATCAAAGCATTAAAGTATGTCAAGGTCTATAGATGGACATGTCAAACATGGATCCTGGCATGAGAGATATGTTAAATGAGAGTCTGGAATTCCAGTAAGTCTAAGTCTACAGATGATGCAGCAAATGAGGATTTGGGCATTCCAGTTTGTTCAGATCTACAAATGGATACAGCAAATGTGGATCTGGATGTTCCAGTATTTGGATCTGAGCATTCCAGTATGTCTATGTTTACAGATGGACATGGCAAGTATGGATCTGGGCAAGCTAGAATGTCCAGACCTCCAGATGGACATGATAAATGAGGATCTGGGCATTCCAGTATATCCAGATGTACATTTGGATATACTGGAATGCCCAGATTCACATTTGCCATATCCATCTGGAGGTCTGGACATACTAGCATCTCCAGATCCACATTTGCCATGATCTACAGATGTACATCTGGATATACTGGAGTGGCCAGATCCTCATTTGCCGGGTCCATCTGTAGATCTGGACATATTGGAATGCCCAGATCCACACATGGCAAGTGATGGCAAGCATAAACCTCCATTCATCTTCCCACAGAGCCTTAAACTCAACATGGAAGCCTACATCAAGTGTCTTGAGAAGGTAGTGCTGTTCTGCATCAAGAAGGTTGTTACTGGAAGGCCCTATGTCTGGCAGCAGAGACCTGCTGCCAGACATAGTCTTCCAGTCATACAAACAAGAGAACCCAGTCATAGCTGTCCTCCCCAGACTGCAACCCCCTCGATTATTATGTGTGGGGCATAGTTGAGTGAGAGACAAGCAAAACTTGTAACACCAAAGTTGAACTGAAGGTAAGGATTATGGCAGCATTCATCAACTTAAACAAGGAGACCGTCCAGACGAGTTGCAGGCGATTCCGACGTCATCTGGAGGTTGTGGTTGAAGCCAATGACAACTTTACTGAATACATATACTCTTTAGTATTTCAAGATATTTTTGTTCAATTTTGGTAAATATATCTGTTAAAATGAGATGTCAGTGTTGTATGGTGCCTTGAATATGACCTAAAAGTACATCCAATAATGAAGTCTCAACTCTGACAGAATTTGTACACCCTGAACTATTGTTACCTAGTGGTGATATTTGACTAAGATTTAGCACTTATTTTCCCACTCACCAGGGTCATTTTGTTTCTTTGCTTAACAGACACATGGGAGGAGAGTTTTTTTTTTTATTTTTTCTAGTATTGACTGAATGATTACCATGAATGAGGTGAAAAACAGGATAGTTGTTTTTTTTTTATAACAGGAAGTGAAATGTACTTCCCACTTCAAATCAAGATTGTCACTATATTTGCAAAGGGAGAAGTCACTGCATTTGCTTCCTTTTTTATTGAAGAGTGAAGAAGCTGATGGGTCAGAAGATGCTTGTGATTGACCTGGTGAGTTTTACACTATGAGAAGTGTTGTAGCTGACCAGCACACAAGTCAGTATCTGATCAGTATCAACTGAGTCGCCATGGAGAAGGAGTATGGTATTGTAAGATCTGAAAAATCCTTTAATGATCCTTGGCTAAAAACATCACTGATAATGTATGCCAAAACATCCAACATGTATTTTAACGAAAATATATTAACACAAATCAAAAACACCTATCAAAATATGTAAAATTACTAGAATTTAATGGATTTCAAGGTAAACAGGATTTTTGTCAAGAAAAAAAAAAAACTCTGGCAACAATAGTCAATACATTAACAAGGTTAAATTGACTTATCATTTGAGTGAATTCAAAGTTTTGTGTACACCCTACTCATCATTCATTCATTCATTCAGCACATTTTGTGTTGTTGTGGTCACCACTCCCCTCTATCTCTTTCTGTCTGATGCTGCCCTTAAAGCCTCAGCCACCATCATTCTAGTCCACCTCTTAATATCATCAAATCAAGACATGAGTGGTCATCCCTGGTGCCATTTGCCCTCCACAGGCCTAGCAGAATGTCCCTATTGAAGCCACATCATTGCATAATATGCCCAAAGTAACAGAGCTTCCTTAGTGCCATCTGCTCTCTCAATATGTACCTTGTTCTGATGGTATCTAGCACCCACTTATTACTGCGTCTCACTGTCCATGGCACTCTAATGTCTCTGCAATATGTCCATATCTCAAAATCATCATTCCGGTGTCTTTCCCCTCTTGGTCAGTGCCCATGACTTTGGCCTGTAGTTGGCGATAACGAAAGCAGTTGCTTATAATTTCAACGTTAGGCTGATGTGTATATTCCAACTATTCCAGATGTTTCCTATTTTTGTCATACCACTTCTTGCTATTGCCAACCTTTTCTTGATCTCACACATAGAGCTACCCTGGGTATTGATGGTGGAGCTCAGGTACACAATAATAATGTTTGTGTACCCTGCTAATCAGGGTCAGATAAATTATCTGGTAAGCAATGTGGATGTGCAACCTTGACGTCACTCAAAAGATAAGTCAATTAAGCTTTATTAATGTATTGACATGTGTGTGCACATGTAAATGTATATACACACGCATACATACATGCACAATGTTTATGATGCACATTGCATTTATAATATATGGATTATTTGTAATTGTATTAAGAATTTTAAGTATTTTTTTTCTGTCATTTCTCAGGAATAATTTGGAAAAAAAAAACTATTATTGTTTTCATTTCCACAGGATGCAGTTAAGACCTTAAATTCCTTGCAGATTACAAATAAAACTTTTTTGTCATTGAAGAAAGACAGAAAAAATTATGATGCTAATAAACTGTCTTATATGAGAAAATACATTGAAAGCATTGGGATGACAGTAAGTGTTTTGTTTCTTTTTTGTCACTCTTTAAATAGATTGACTATATGCTAGATTTTTATTGTGTGACTAAAATGACACTAAGCTGATCCGGAGCTGGCTTTTTTCTAACCTGACATAATGGACTCTGGCCTCGTTGTTTATTAACTGACTAGTCTGATCCCCAGCTAACTTTTTTTTCTACCTGACCAGACTGATTCTGAGCTGGCTTTTTATTGCCTGACAAGATGAACTTCAGCCTAGTTGTTTAATACCTGACAAGCCTGATCCCCACATAGCTTTTTTTTTTTTCTGCCCAACCAGACTGATTTTGGGTTGGCTTTTTATTATCTGACAAGATGCACTCTGGCTTAGTTATTAACTAATTGACTAGCCTGATCCCCAGGTTGTTTTGTTTTCCTTTTGTTAAAACTAGTTTGATTTAGCTGTATTCTCTTTGCTCTTTTTTATGATTCTTATTTTCTCATTTTATTGTTTTTTACTTTTTCTACCTTTTCTGTTAGATGGGAGAGATCAAAGTTCTCTGCTGATGTAAGAATGTTTTACTTAATTTGTCGATATCATTTTTTGGCTGGTTAAACTTATTTTCCTGCTTTATTAGAAAGGAGGGTTCTTTTTAGACACTAACACATTTCTGTTAAGTATTTGTTCATATCAATTCAAACATTTGTGTTTTAAATTTAAAAACATAAATCTGTTGTTTTACTCTATTTGAATTGTAGATATGGGTCAATGTCAGTTAGAATTCAGTGTGACTTTTTGGTACTTGTTGCATGAAAGATTTCGAATAAATGTGATATGGTTAAAAGAATAAAGGTTTTAGATCATTGACTGAAACTAGTTACCGTATTTTCTTATGTATAATACAACTTGAGCATAATATGAACGCGTGTTTCTGAAGCTAAAAACGGAATAAATTACGTCCTGGAGTATAATATAATGCTGTAGTACAGCCATCACTATGTAAATTGTTTTTGAATGGTTGTACCATATTATCTATTAAAATATCAATATTGTACATATATTTCACTAAAATATTTAATTTTTCCTGATATTAAAGAATGGAGAAAGGTTCTTTAACATTAATGTTATCAAAACATGACAGAACTTGTTTATTCCATTTATTAATTTCTTTTAATCAATTTCTGTGAATTTCCTGTCTTTGAGACAAAATAAACGTTCAATTACGTTGATTCCCAAACAACACGTATAGCTGACATGTCAAATATCTTTTGTAAACAATTATTATCAATACCAGCCTACTTTTTGTTTTATTATCTATTGGGCTGAGTATATTTGAAATCTTGCTGTTTTCAAATAAGAGGGTTTTTTTGGTTTTTTTAAATTCTGAACATGTCTGCTTCTGTATAATACAACCCTAACCCTTTTTTGTTTTTAATTTTCATTCATAATTTCTCATATAATACACAAGAAAATATGGATAAGTTAATATTAGGATAGTAAAGACTAACATCTTCTACTACTCCACTACATTTTTTGTATATTACTTGTTCATAGGAAAATAAATTTCATTTTTACACTGTAGGCAAATTTCTGCTGAATGTTATGTAGGAATTTTTTTTTGTTTTTGACTCTTGAAAATTACACTACATATCATTATCTGGATAATCGTGTAGCTGGGTAAGGTGTTTGTGCATGAAAATGCCCTTTAAGAGGCTTGTAGCTTTTAAAACAAATTAATTAAAGCAGGTGGGAAAATTGATAGAAAAGGATTACATTAAGCAGAGATTAATGAGAGAAAGAACTAAGAATTAAGAATTTTAGATTCCATGAGTGAAAAGTGGAAATGGGTCTAGCAAAGATTGAACACTGGTTTAACTGGTAAATCCAGCATACATAAAATTCATCATTCATTCCCCTCTGGCCTGCCTATCATATTGCTGGCATTATTAATGATTTCTTAAATAAAATGTAAGTTGGTCAACCAAAATGAAGTTGTTTTCATTTTATACCATTAAGGTAATTCTATGTTGAATTATAGGAAGGGTCAAATCCTGGGTCTTGGGTCATTTGTTAGCATTAGGAGCATCTGGTTTTCAAAGAAATCTTGAGAACTTGAGATTAATTGCAAAAAATTATTTGTTCAGCAATGTCAGGCAAAGAACATGCACAGTGTGATGAGAGGTTTACCAACTGTAGTGAAGCTCTGTCAGCCCTATTAGACCATGAATAAACAAAGACAGTTATTACACAACAGCATCATATCTGCATAATAATTATGCTGTGTGGTCATCGACATATTTGTTCTTTTCTTACTTGTTAACCATATCCTTACAATAAACTAATAGTTGCTGAATGTGGAATGGGTGCTGGGGCAATTATTGATTATACATGGAAAATGAAGATATTCCATTTAAGTCACTAATTCAAAACAAGAAGTTGAAGAATCTTTTATGTCATACCATAGATCCAAAGATACATAACAAACTAGGCAATTCTAATAATTTGTGAATTACCACAGTCAGACAAATCACCAATATTGATAACAGCTGTGAGAATTGGTAAGTTCTGCACAATCTTGTAATGGTGAAGGCATCTGAACATAGTTTAAAAATTACAACCAAGACTATTCCAGTCTACAAATCAAGCATTTCTAAATGATTTGCTATTCCTAAATCAGCTGTTCAAAACATCATTCTTAACTTCAAGAAATCTGTACTTTGAATGAAGAAATTGTCAGTCAAAGCAGAATGTAGCCATACCAAATGTGAACACACCCTTATCTGCTTTTCTGGATTAGTTTTTATGTGATTAACAAGCTCTGTCGTTTCTGGATGGATGTTGGCAATCACGGCTCTTCACAACTTCCTGGTTTTTAGTGATATATACAATACTGTCTTGCTAACCCCTTTATGATCAGAGTATCTGCATACTCTTCCAAGAATCAGTGTTGCTCTCTGGCACTCTGCTTCAGATCAGAGTGTAGTATGTGTGTAATCTGGGAAATGTGTTGCACACACAACAGTGTTCCAAACTAACTTTTTCATCATCAGCCTAAAAAACAACTTTGTCTCCAAAATATTTTAAACTATCACAAAATAAAATATTTTTAAAACCTTATCATTAATAGTTGTTAGTAATAGTTTTTAGTTGTTAGTATCATTATAAAAATATCATTAAAACATTTCGGAAATAAGACGCCAGACAATTTTTCTCTCCAGAATCTATCTTACATATTTATAAGTCTACCATTCATCCAGGCTTTGTATATTGCTGTCACATATAGTCCGGTGTTCCTGCTATATATTTAGAGATTCTTGATAAAATTGAAAGAAGAATCAGCAATATTATTGGTCCTGACCTGGCATCTCAGCTTTAGTCCCTTTCTCCACCACCATAATGTAGCTTCCCTGTGCCTTTTCTATAAATACTTTCGTGGTAATTGTTCGGTTGAACTCTCTACTATAGTACCTAGGTTTTATGAATTTAAGCACAGTACTAGATTGGCAACAAGGTCTCATCAATATATATTTGAATTGACTAGCTGTAATCAAAAGTTCTATTCTAACAGTTTCTTTTCTCACACTTCTTACTTGTGGAACTCTCTTTTGGCTCCATGCTTTCCAGCCAACTTTGAACTTCAAAAATTTAAATGCAATATCGATCATTATCTACTGTCTTCTTGATTACTCTTCTATTGTTCTCGTTCCTTAAGAATTTATCTTTTAGTGGCTTTACATGGGTGAAATAATAAAAAAAAAAATTAAAAAGCTAAAATATTAGTTTTAAAAATGTATAAATACAAGAACAAATTAGTTAAATATTACTGTAGTTTTTCTAAAAAAAAAAAAATAATCAAAACTTTGTTTTTATTTCAACATTTTGGTTAAATTACGATGGATAATTTTATATGGAAATATTCTTAATTAATTTTCTTGCTCAGACTAACTTTTATCAGATATTAAGAAATATGCTCTCTGCACATTTATTTTCTGTTTATTTTCCTTTTCATCATAGCACATTGCATCTATTCACTATCAAAAATCTTTTAATGGCTCTTTATCAACAAATTTTCATTTACAATTACTTGCTTCAGTCACTCTGCCCTTGTATTTTCAATTTAGTTTATGATAAGCAAAAATATAATGCATAAATATTTTTAAATGGTTCATTCAAAATTGACAAAAATCTTGCTTTATTTATTAAAACAAAATTCTTAACAATTTCATTTGAATGTTTTTCACATTTAACAATAAATAATATAAATATTTAAATCTAAGTCCTTTAACTTTCTTTTTTTGTTCAGTTTTCAATCACCAATTTCTGTTTACCAAGAAAACTGACTGCCATTAAATAACACCTGTATTCAATGGACCCATTTCTATTTTCTGAAACTATTCAAACTTGTAACCTAGGAAAGGTTACTGAATAAGAATAGCCAAAATGAAGGTTGGAAATGGAACGGTAATCTTTATAACATTAACAACATACAAGATTTGCTAGCAGTGTGTAGTAAGTAATCCACTGCTAATCCCCAGACAGTATATTCCACTGTATTTATGAGGATTGGGATGTACCCATTATAGTCCTTGGGTATAGTATAACAAAACCTTTAGCACATTTTGATGATTTTAGTTATGTATAATTATAGATGGACAAAGAAATTACAAACATCTTTGGATTTAGTTTGAGATTATAAACTTAATTAAAATTACATTTTCTTTTTAAATTACAATTCATTGCTTCCTTTTGCACAGAATACTTTCAAATAGCTTTTATGGACATATTTTTGGCAAATATAACAATTTGTGTTTTACTATTGATTTTAGGACCACACAAGGTGCATCATTTTTTTCTTTCTCTCACTGGACAGTGTATTGCTCACTAGAGTTTGAAGTTCTACCAATACCTTCAAAACCTGATTTCCTTCAGCATTTGTTCATTTTTGGATCATTTCCAGGAGATTTAGCTTCATGAAGAATGTAAATGATGAAAGAGATGAATCACAAAATTTTGCAAAATGTGAAGGTCCAGGTTTT